TTAACCCATTATAACATTCCCATATAAATCGGTGTGCATAATATGATTTCGTATTACATTCACCATGTTTCCTAACAGTTACTATTAAATATCCATTATTACTAATATTACCTTTCATAGGTATTCTCCTAATTATATTAATAATATAACCATCTTCACTACTGGCATACCTGTTATAAACTGGGTGTAAACTAAATGATTTTTCATTAACAATRATTTTATCTTTTATTTTATCTGACATAATTTATATATGAGTCATTTCCTTAAGCCTTAACGAGAAATTWTTTTTTTTTAACATAGCCTCGGAACCAAGCGTAGAAACCAAACATTGTAACTCAGAGGATGAATCTAGCATTAAAAACCTAGTAATTAAGCTATCTTATTAAAGACAAAATTCAATTCTAATCATGAGTAAAAATTATATTAAAGACAGGGAAAGTTTCATCTAGTAAAATTCTGGCTTGGTGTCACGTGACTTATTTTCCAAGAAATCATGATAATATTTTTCCAAGAATTCAAGACTGGWTTCATCTAGTAAATTATGCTTTGATCCTTAATAACTTATCTTCCAAGAATTCAATACATAATCCACTTCCAAGAATTCAGGGAAAAGTTTCATCTAGTAAATTATGCCTTGATGCTTAATGATAAATCTAGACAAAAAATCCATACTCTGAATCTGAGGCAAAAATCGCCAGAACCGGCCATTCCCTACTACTTGTGTTCAGACACATGCTCTTAACTTATTGTGTAAGTGTATTCTTGTTTTGCTWTTGTTTGTGTCAAAAACGAGCGAAAAAAGTGTACTTGTTATCATGGTAAGAGTACTCGTAGTTCTTACATGATTTAAAGTAGTCATTTGAAAAAAAACAAAAAAACAAAAACAAAAAACAAACACTAAGTTTAGTAGTATAAGTATATATCAGCGAGTGAATTTTTTGAATTCCACAAATTAAACAAATCCAAGAGATGTGTGACAAAGTTTATAAATAAATAACATTGCTAAAACTACCGGCAAACGAGCGACGAACTAGAACTACAACCTGGTTTCAGGGTAAGCTGGGATACCTGGAGTATCTGGAGGACCTGGTTTCAATACGCATGGATGATCAGTTGGTTGAGCTTCCAAAAATACTGATAAAGTATTTCGTGAGGTCTCGAAGTAATGATAAACCAGACCCTGGTTGGGACGGTTTTCTAGTATCAGAGTCTCTTAGAATCTAAAGGAGAAGTAAAAATAAGTTGCAAAATTTCGAACGACAGTGGGAAAAGCCGTTTGCAGGCAGAGCGTTTATTGCCATATACTTATCTGGAACTCCAATTCCAGCTCCGGGTTCCGAATTTTGGCATGCGTAATTAGAAAATCAAAATGCTTCATTTAAAACGTGAATACAGGCTAATATTTTCTCAAAACCTCTCTCATTGCTTTACATTTTATAATTTATCAATATTCTTAAATGAATCGCCATTTTTTTTTTTTTTTTTTTTTTTTTTTAAACAAAAGTTAAAGAGATCATAACGCTTCGAACTGCAAAGATCAAACCCTGGAATTATTTATTTTGCTTCTCACTAAATCGAATAGAATCCTAAAATAAATAATGCTATGTACCTCATGTTCCTTTGTGAGTAGACTTTGAAGCCAAAGCAGTTAATATAAATACATAAATATAGGTTATAAGACTATATTATCAAGTTCAAGAGAACTTCAACGAGTCACTGTTGAATTAATTTGTTATACGATCGCTTATCTTAATTTTAACCCTTTTGAGCTTTTCGAGCTACTATGATTATAAAAATGAGCTTAAATTTGTGTTGTTGAGAGATGTTATTGTATAAGGATCTTAAAAACATTTACAAATGCCAAGTTACTGACAAAGAAAATTGTTATTTTGTATTTTGCATTGTATTTTGCTTTATTTTTTTATTTTGTCTCAGATGTTCTCAAGTCTGTTTTCAAGTCTGTTTCACAGTATTGATTTAATTTGTCCATAAAAAGTTCGGAAATCTCCTAAATTTGGATTTTAATGAAAGACATCCATGGTAAATTTTACTAAACTTGATATTATATAGGATTATCTGCAGTTGTCTTATGTTTTTAAACCAGACATTCAAAAACAAAACTAGCCACTGGGGTGGTTGGTAGTGGTTTTTTTAAAAGAGACAAAATTCCTAAGTGGCGGCGAGCTCATGGTAGTAAAAAATTGAGGTCGAAAACAAAGACTCGTGCAAAGAAAACGTTATACATTTCGATTTTATTTTTTCTCTTCATGGTTTTCATTATGAGGGACATTATCTCCACCTTGAAGAAGAACAAAAATTAAAGATTTTYCCCTGATTTTATCTTCATTTTTCAGTTTTATCTAATTTGTGCTCGCTGGGTCTATTGGGAGCTCCGCTTTTTGGCAGTGCCTAGATTTATATATTATTTATTGATCTTTATGCTAAAGTTAGGTAAAGTATTTAAAGTGCCTATTAAGCCTGCATGCTGTCTTCCTGGTTTTAAAGCAGTGATCTTGAATAAATAAGAATGGCTTTTACTTTTCTTCGATATCTCTTTTCCTTGCCAAGATGTTCATAATAGAAATCAAAAWTTGATGACGACAAACCAGGATCATAGTAAAACGTCAACTGAACCAACAGAGAATGTCTCTGTGATAATTAGCTCAAAATGATTACAACTTTTGATGATTATAGTGTTCACTGTACAATCATYAAAAGTTTCAGTCATCAGTTTTGAGCTAATTCTCACAGATATATTCTCTATTTGATCAGTTGACTTTTTATCCTTGGTTAACGTTTGGTTTATTCTATTCCCACCCTCTTTGTTGCTATTCCTTGCGCTGCTTTGGTTCTGATGGAGAACTCCTCAGCTTTACCTTTACAATTCTCAATCAGGAGTGTTTGGAACTACTCTAAGTAGAATACTATTCTGTTAATTGTGTCCTTGAAGCGATCTCTTATTTTAGTAATATTCTTTCTTTTTTTTTTGTTTGTTTGTTTGTTTGTTTTGTTTTGTTTTGTTTTGTTTCAGAATTGTGAAGGAAAACCCTCTGTATATCATGAATTTACAGTTGAATTCATCCTACAGTGCGATCATACCTCTCAAAACTTATTTTTCTAGAAATGGAAGGACCTTGACGGTAAATGGAAAATCAAGTAAACAAGAAAGCTTGTCGAAAGAAGTTATTCTTATCGTAGATGATGATGATAATAATAATAATATATAATAATGAAGAAAGGAAAAATCCAGACTTTTTGAATCACAATTACTTTCCTGGTGGAGTAGAGAGGGCTGCGGCAACACGATTTGAGAAGAAAGCAAATTTGGAAGTACCTGACGCTCCACGTATTGCTGCCAGCAAGTTATACGGCATAAACGATATGGTTATCAGTAATATTACAGTACAATCTGATCAAGACGACATTAAGATCCTGGAAAATGTTGGAAATCAAGACCTTTATGACTCGTATTATAAGGAAGTTGAAGATATGTTGTCTCAGCTAAACGACGGAACAAAAAATGACAGCTCAAACGCAGATGATTTGTTTCATGTGTGTGGCATTACCCAATATTGTTTGGCGGTGCATTTCCAAACACATACGTGCTGGTAAAAAAAACATTTAAATGTAGCTATTGTTGCAAGGCCTTTAAACAGAAAACTGAACTGTATCAGCATGTCCAAACTCACAGCAGGGGAATTGGGTTTCATCAGATGTCAGCAATAYATAAAACCATAATTTAGTTTAAAATAGTTGTTAAGTCATGCAGCCACAACTTTTTTGATCTGACTTGCAACCTCAACTGTCCAAAGCAGCCTTGGAATGAAATCTGTGATGATGCTTTTCTTATTCATAGTTGACTTCGACTGAAGCAAAGGTGAAAAATATGCATGCGTTTCAGAATTTGTTTTTCATAATTTTAACTCTGTAAAAATGAGAATTTTTAAAAAGTATTTTAAATCTCACTGGCAATTCCTTTAAAGTCCGCGAGGACAGGGTTAATATGAAAAACGCGGAGTCAAAGACACTAGGTCAGCGCGGGCAGCATTCTAACTTCGTTGCAATTTAGCAATTTGATAAGCGGGTAGACTATAATATAATCTGTTGTAATTTATCCGACAGGTAATAAAGGCGTGAACAAGCTGAGTAGCACAGGACTCAGTAGATACGAACTTCCTAATTTTCCTAATGTTATAATGATAGTAAAAAATAGGATGTTTTTGTATGTGTTAGCAATCCTCCTATGAAATTCGAAATAAACTACTGCCAAAAATAGTTCCAAAAGGCGTAGCAGGTGTAATAGCAAATCTAATGACTGGAAATTAAATGAGTGGAACTAAGAAAAAAAATTACTATTAAGGATTTTACTATTTATTATTTATTACTACTTTTTATTTTATTGAACCTTGTTTTTGCGGAGGAGTTCTGTGACAATTGATTGGTTTATCCGGCGAATTTTAAAATCATCTCCGTAGAACTCCATGCACGTGACAAGCAAAGGAATAGACCACCATTTTATCTTGGGCCTAAAGTTTTCCCTTTCCAGACCACGTGCTTTTCTAATTTATGTGTTAGAACTAAGTTTTATTCATAAAAGCAACAGGAAACCCAAACAGAAATATAAGTAAGCAATGTATTCTGGCATTCCTTTGCTTTGACGTCTGTGTGTGTTTACGGTTTAACTACAGGGAAGCAATTTAATTTTATGGGCCGCAACATATATCTGAATCCTTCGGACCAAAATGATATTTAAAACATTTGTAGAGGCATTTCTGTTATTTTCATGACAGTTCAATAGAAACTACAACTATTTCTATTGAGTTTAAACGAAGACAATTCACAAAAGGTGAAACCCTTCAAATCTTTTATTTCATCCCAGAAACTACAAATATGGGCAGCTCTGTTTAGCTTAAATAAACTCGGCATTATTATTTAGTAAAGTGTATCGTAACCTTTTTTT